CTGGGTTCGATTCCTCAGCACCACATAAGCAAAAAGAAAAAAGCCGGAAGTGGCGCATTGGCTCAAGTGGTAGAGCACTAGCCTTGAGCTGAAGAGCTGAGGGACAGCGCCCAGGCCCAGAGTTCAGGCCCCACAACCGAACCAAAAAAAAAAACAAAAACATATATATGAGAGAAAACATAATAAGCTTGATCTATCTATCACTCATCTTTAACATTATTAATTCACTGAGTAAATCTTCTTTGTTTACTTGTTTAAGAGAGGAGAGGACCTTGCTGTTGCTCAGGCTGCCCTTGAACTTCTAAGTTTAAGTGATCCTACTGCCTCAGTCTCCCAAGTTACTGGAACTGCAAGATGTCACTGTGACAAGCTCTCATTTATCTACATTCCTACTAATTCTTCTTTCTTCCTTGTATTCAAATTGTGTTGAAACAAATCCTATGATCTTACTATTTCATGTGTAAATGTTTAGGTATGTATCTCTAAAATGTACTCTTAAAAACAGCCACAAATAGGTATGGGGATATATTTCAGTGGCATAGTAGACTTGCTTAGTATGTGTAAACTCCTGGGTTCTATCCAAACACCAAAAGGAAAAAACCCTAACATTGATATCATTTTCACACCTACAATAAAGTAATTTTTCTATGCCATCAAATATGCAAGAAGTAGTCATATTTTTACAATTTTCTCATAACTGTTTCTTACTTTAATAGGTTTTTTTGCTTAAATTAGTATCTAAATGAGTTATTAATTACAACTGGTTAAGAACATATCTTGTGGGCTGAGAATATGGCTTAGTGGTAAGAATGCTTGCCTAGCATGCATGAGGCCCTGGGTTCGATTCCTCAGCACCACATAAGCAAAAAGAAAAAAGCCAAAAGAGGCGCTGTGGCTCAAGTGGTAGAGCGCTAGCCTTGAGCTGAAGAGCTGAGGGACAGCGCCCAGACCCAGAGTTCAGGACCCACCACCGGACTCAAAAAACAAAACAAAACAAAAAAAGGAGTTGTGAGGCAGAATAGAGTAGGGGAAATGACACATGATAAATAGCAGCCAGGGAATTCAAAAACAAACATTGTAATTAATGAGTAGTTCTATTAGAAACACAAAAGGAATATATTCTTTGCTTTAACTCTCCCACTCCTTCATAAGGTGTGGTATTACTACAAGGAGAAAGAGAAAGAAAGAAAGAAAGAAAGAAAGAAAGAAAGAAAGAAAGAAAGAAAGAAAGAAAGAAAGAAAGAAAGAAAGAAAGAAAGAAAGAAGAAAGGAAGGAAGGGAGAGAGAGAAAGACAGAGAGAGAGAAAAAGAAAGAGAGAGAAAGAAAGAAAGAAAGAAAGAAAGAAAGAAAGAAAGAAAGAAAGAAAGAAAGAAAGAAAGAAAGAAAGGAAGGAAGGAAGGAAGAAAGAAAGGAAGGAAGGGAGAGAGAGAAAGACAGAGAGAGAGAAAAAGAAAGAGAGAGAAAGAAAAAGAAAGAGAGAAAGAAAAAGGAAGGAAGGAAGGAAGGAAGGAAGGAAGGAAGGAAGGAAGGAAGGAAGGAAGGACAAAAAACAAAAAACAAGAGCACCTTTCTCCATTTTTCCATCTGACCTTGCCTACTGGCCCAATATAGTGTGCTCTGAAAACTGAACAAGGACATCATAAAGAAAGACACGTATCCTAGAAAAGCAACTACTTGGGAAAACAATTCCTCCAGGCACAAAGTATTTATCTCAAGAATGGACATCTGACTTGAAAAACTGTACAGCAGAATGCATTCTTTCTTTGAAGGGATGCTCAAACATCAATGATCAAAGTTTAATGAGCAGTCGGTCTTAGAGACCCTGAGCCCAAGTGATAAAAGTGTAACACCAAGTGATTAAATTTGTGCTAGGTGTGAGAACAAAGAAAAACACTTCTCCTAGAATAACTTTATGTGAAGCCCTTATCATATATATCCCTGATGTCAAAAGAGTTCCCTTTGTCTCCCTTTGAGAACCCACATTCTACATCTCTTAAGAGTACCTCTGTCTTTCTGCTTGCTTACTCAATAAAGCTCTGCCAAGTTTTCTTACCCTGTGACTTGTCCTGAAATTCTTTTTTTGCCAGTCCTTGGGCTTCAAGACAGGGCCTGAGCATTGTCCCTGAGCTTCTTGTCCTGAGCTCTACAACTTGAGCCACAGCCCCATCTCAGGCCTTTTTGGTAGTTATTGGAGATTAGAATCTCATGAACTTCCCTGCCTGAGCACCTCAGATCTCAGCCTCCTGAGCAGCTAGGATTATAGCCATGAATTACTGGTACCCAGCCCTGAAATTCCTATTCTGCAATCCAAGTCAAGAACCTGGTACTAAAACCCTAAGTGGAGGGTCCCTACTTCTAGGGGGAAACTTCACAAACCCTCACCTAGATAGAACTGGTGACAGTTGTACAAAGGGGTTTCAATTCTAGAAGTCAGTTATGAGTACTATGCATCTTGATTAATGTCACCCCTTCCATTGTTCTCCCCTTTCCTTCTCCATCCCATCCCTACCCTCAAGTTCTGTAGTTCAATTTTCATATAGTGTATATTGACTATAATGACTGTATTGGCTCATCCTTCTCCCCTCCATGAGTGTGTCCTTCCTCATTTCCCTCTCCTAACCAAACATGTTTCAGTTTCCTAATATTCATTTTGATAAATTGTCTGATAGTTATTCAAAGGAGTTACATTGTATAAATTTTGGTTTTAGAAGTACCTATATTGGGCTGGGAAAGTGGCTCAGTAGTAGAGCGCTTGCCTCCGCTTGCCTCGCATGCCTGAGGCCCTGGGTTCGATTCCTCAGCAACACATAAGCAAAAAAAAAAAGCCAGAAATGGCGCTGGAGCTCAAGTGGTAGAGCATTAGCCTTGAGCTGAAGATTTAAGGGACAGTGCCCAGGCCCAGAGTTCAGGCCCCACGACGGAGGAGGAGGGAGGAGGAGGAGGAGGAGGAGGAGGAGTTTAAACTAACATAGGTGTTGCTTGCCTCGTAAAAGGGAATTTTCTGAATTGTCTAGATTTGTTCTCAAACAATAACCTTGCAAACTTCATTTTGCTTTCATTTTCTTAGCAACTTCCCCTCTTTGCTTTTCTAATTAATCAAAGGATAATATAAGCTTGAGCCTTGACTGTATTCTAATCAGAAATAAGAGAGGTTGAAATGAACAACATAGAAATGAGAGGTGGGGGGGGGGGCTGGGAAGGTGGCTCAGTGGTCTAGCGCTTGCTTTGCATGCCTGAGGCCCTGGGTTTAATTCCTCAGCACCACATAAGCAAAAAGAAAAAAGCCGGAGCCGGGCGCTGGTGGCTCACGCCTATAATCCTAGCTACTCAGGAGGCTGAGATCTGAGGTTTGCGGTTCAAAGCCAGCCCGGGCAGGAGAGACTGTGAGACTCCTATCTCCAATAAACCACCAGAAAACCAGAAGTGGTGCTGTAGCTCAAGTGGTAGAGTGCTGTCCTTGAGCTGAAGAGCTGAGGGACAGTACCCAGGCCCAGACTTCAGGCCCCATGACTAGCCCCCCCCCCAAAAAAGAAATGAGAGAATATAGTGTATATCGGTGAGAAGCGTGGGTTCAAATCCTAGCGCACGTACATATGCGCACACGCTCGTGTACACACACACACACACAAAGGATAGAACACAGACCAGATAATATTAAATGAAAGGTTCTTCATACCATTCGTTTTCACAAAGTAATGATCTGATCTGGCCTTAATATATAAACTGATGTATTCAATACCCTTGGGATTGTTTCCCCAGTAGCTAGTAGCTCACATTAATCATCACTTCTATATTAAGTCTTTGTGAAAAATGTTTATCACTAAGACACTTTGCACAGCCTCAGTACCAAGCATAAGACTTTGGTCTCATTAAACATAATTATGTTATCACTATATGATTAACATGACTATGGAGCTATCCTAGAAAGTCTGTATGAGTGCAGATGTATAAAATTTCAAAACATTTAAGTGTAAGTCAATAATACACTATGTTTCTGCCAGTTGCTCATGCCTGCAATTCTAGATACACAAGAGGCTGAGATCTGAGGATCACCAATCAAAGCCAGGACAGGAAAGGTCATGAGACTCTTATCTCCAATTAACCAGTAAAAATCCAGAAGTGGAGCTATGGCTAAGGGGGCAGACTGCTAACCTTGACCACAAAAACTCAGGGATAGCACCCAGGCCTGAGTTCAAGCTGTAGGAATAACACAAACACACACACACACACACACTAAAAAGAAATGTACTCTTTACCTGATTTATGTAACTGTAACTCTTCTGTATATCAACCTTTCTAATAACAATAAAAATTCAAAAACAAGAGACCAAAGGGGCAAGTATGCAAATAAATGCACAAAACAACAAACTTTAAGAGTTGCTTACCTTCTTCTCGCTTTAAATTCCGTTCAATGTTTGCTACACAAGAGGCACAAGTCATGCCAGTGACCTGTATATAACACTTAGAAGAAGCCTTTGTGTCTTCCTTGTTGTGTACTGGTGTCATCATTTTATCTGATTCATTCACTGAAGGCAAAAGTGACATTTCCGATGAGGGCTGAGCTATCACTACCAATGGCTCACTGAGGTCTGTTGAGAAGGAAAAGATGAATTTCACTTGTGGCATTATTTTCCACCTACCACTTTGTCATGAGCCACAAACTACACTTCCAAGCACTGCTAAACCATTTCTCTAAATTCAGGAACTTCTAGCTTTAATTCAGAGATTTTCTCCACAGAAGTTAATGTGACTAATTATTTAGACCAGTGTTCTCAATCTTTAATGTACACATGAACCACCTGGAAAACTCATTACAATTAAAATATATATTTGGATTCAATAGGTCTGTATTTCTAATGACCAGCCAAGGGATACTGGTATAATTCATCTGTGAAAAGTATTTGTTTTTGCTGCTCGTGGGGCTTGAACTCTGAGCCTGGGCACTGTCCCTGAGCTTTTGTACTCAAGGCTATCACTCTACCATTTTGAGCCACAGCTTCACTTCTGGTTTTCTGGTGGTTAGCTGGAGATAAGAGTCTCCCAGATTTTTGTGCACGGGCTGGCTTTGAACCCCAATCCTCAGATCTCAGCCTCCTGAGTAGCTAAGATTACAGGCGTGAGCCTCCAGCGCTTGGCTCTAACTTTTCTAATAAAGAACTACATATGTGTTTGTTTTTTTTTGTCGGTCGTGGGGCCTGAACTCTGGGCCTTGGCACTGTCCCTCAGCTCTTCAGCTCAAGGCTAGTGCTCTAACACTTGAGCCACAGCACCACTTCTGGCTTTTTCTGGTTATGTGGTGCTGAGGAATTGAACCTAGGGCCTCATGCATGCAAGGCAAGCACTCTACCACTGAGCCACCTTCCCAGCCCCCTACATATTTCTTTTCAGAGGATAAGAATCTCTGTCTTTGGGCTTGGATGTGTGGCTTGGATCCTGGAGCACCAGCCACCTTGAAAGCAAGCTTCAGATACCTACTTTGAGTCTCAGTCTCTGACAAAGAAAAAAGAAAAAAGAAAGAAAGAGCTACAACAAACAAAAAAAAGAATTTTGGCCTTTGAGACTGTCTATACTATAGAAAATTCACTCAAGAGGTTTACACAGAGGATTATCAGTTCAAAACCACCTTGAACTAATCAATGAATTTCAAATCACCCTGGAACTAGATATTGAAATTCTCTCTCAAAAGAAATATAAATATAAAATCTGGGTGCCGGTGGCTCACACCTATAATCCTAGCTACTCAGAAGGCTGAGATCTGGGATCGTGGTTCAAAGCCAGCCTGGGCAGCAAAGTCCGTGAGACTCTTATATCCAATTTTACCAGAAAACCAGAAGTGGCACTGTGGTTGAAGTGGTAGAGCACTCACCTTGAGCTGAAGAGCTCAGGGACAGAGCCCAGGCCCAGAGTTCAAGCCCCACAACTGACAAAAAAAGAAGTATTAATATAATTAAATAAAAAGTCTACACAGTTATTCTGGAAAGCCAGTCTGCCATTTCCTCAAAAAGTTAAAACAGGTGCAGTGGCTCATGCATGTAATCCTAGCTATTCAGAAGGTTAAGATCAGGAGGATCATGGATCAAGGCCAATTCAGGCATAAAAGTCCATGAGATACCATTTCCATAAAAAGCAAGATGTGGTGATTTATGTTATCTCAACTATGCAGAAAATGTAAAAGGAGGATCAAAGTCCTAGTGAGACTGGACAACACTGAAAGACCCTAATATAAAAATAGCTAAGGCAGGGGCTGGAAAGGTAGCTCAGTGGTAGAGCGCTTGCCTTGCATGCCTGAGGCCCTGGGTTCGATTCCTCAGCACCACATAAGCAAAAAGAAAAAAGCTGGAAGTGGCACTGTGGTTCAAGAGCCCTAGCCTTGAGCGGTAGAGCGCTAGCCTTGAGCTGAAGAGCTGAGGGACAGTGCCCAGGCCCAGAGTTCAGGCCCCACGACTGGACCAAAAAAAAAAAATAGCTAAGGCAAAAAAGGACTGAATGGTAGAGCACCCATCTAGCAAGTGTCAAGGCCCTAAATTCAAACTTTAATATAGCTAAAAAAAAAAGGTTAATCAGAGAGCTACCATATGACTAGCAATTTTTAAAACATATATTCATGTAAAAACATGTATACCATGAATGCAGCATTCTTTATAAAAGCCAGAGAGTAGAAACAACTCAAAATAAAAAAAAAACAACTCTGGCTCTGGTAGCTTATGCCTGTAATCCTAGTTATTCAGAAGACTGAGATTTGAGGATTGTGTTTCGAAGCCAACCTGGACAGAAAAGACCCTGTGAAATATCAACCACTTAAATGGAAGAGGCATTGTGGCTCAAGTGGCAGTTCTAGCCTTGAGCAAAAGAGCTCAGGGACAGTATCCAAGCCTTGTTTTCAAGCCCTATGACCAATAGCAACAACAAAAATGTTTAATGTCTCTGGGTTGTTTCTCATGGACATTCATCCACTATAATTAGACATGTCATTAATAAATTTTTTCTTCAGCTTTGTGAGTTTAAAAAAGAACAATACTGGGTTGGGAAGGTGGCTCAGTGGTAGAGTGCTTGCTTGGCATGCATGAGGCCCTGGGTTCAATTCCTCAGCACCACATAAGCAGAAAAAAGCTGGAAGTGGCACTGTGGCTCAAGTGGTAGAGTGCTAGCCTT